TGACAATTCAGAGGTCAGGGGTCTTGAGTTCATGTTCACAGCATGAATTGAAAGATTTCTCGGTGCTTCTCAGTGTGCATCAGTGCTTGTGTGTCATATGACATAACCTTTAGGAATTGATCGCATCCGCCTTGTCCAAGTAGCTTGGAAAGAAAAGTCTGGACTTCTTTAAGTTGCTTGAAGATGTTTCACCTCTCATCCGAGAAGCTTCTTCAGTTCTAAGGTCAAATGGTGGAGAGTCCCAGTTATAAGCCCTGTGGGAGTAACCCACCGAGAGGGACAATGATCCCCTAAATGATCCTCTAATTAATCACATGAGCCAAGGTGTGAAAGCGGGTGTGGGTCACAATCAGCCAAGGTTTTGGGTGAGCTCATTGTGGAACCTAGTCCCACCCTATCATGTTATTTCCTGAGGTCAGATGGCCCAGGATGTGAGTGGGCGTTGAGGCGTCTGCGAAGGGATCTCAAAGATAATCTGGGACTCTCCACCATTTGACCCTAGAACTGAAGAAGCTTCTCGGATGAGAGGTGAAACGTCTTCAAGCAACTTAAAGAAGTCCAGACACTTTTCTTTCCAAGCTTCTTAGACTACGATGACCTGGATGATTGAGAACCTTCACAGATATATCGCATCACCTTGTTTTAGTGTAAGTTATTCACACGTATTCCTTTTATCTTTCCTGTTTAATATTCTGAAAGTAAATAAACGAATGAAAAGAGGAACACTAGCTATGACACGAAATGACATATTAAATTCAGTTGGACAAGAATAATGTCTTAATGTCTTTCCAGTTTTGTTTCGTAATGATGATGTGACAATATGTATCAATAAACCAAACTACAGAATTCCAACAATTATTACAGTTGTTATTTTAATATCTGCTCTTTTATGCCAACACTAACAGGGAATTTTAGCAAAAGTAAGCACCCAGGGGCACTCAATTTTAGAATTAACCTTGCTCCATGATATTAGGAAAATAAGACTTCAAAGAACTGAACGGTAGGAACTGTAGGACATTTTGACAAGTTGTAGTTTTGGTGCTTGATAAATTTCACGACCATATATTTTGAAGTTAACCCTCTCAGGCCCAAATTAAGTTTTCTGTTGCTAATGCACAACCAAGTCCTGCAGTGGTACTTGTGAGTAAAAGAAACTCAAAAAATATGTATGTGGAGTAATCAGGTTGTTAGTTTTTAACTGTTGCAAATCTGCAATGTCTGCCTGGACAGGGTTAAAACACAGAAAAAACCCAAAAATGCTATGGAGCTTTATGGAGTACTATTGAGAGGCAAATGTTACATTCCCATTTAGTGGAAGGAGAGCAAATTATAAACACAACTTCCAAGAAATAAGATCTTCTTTAGTTTTATAAATGTGCAAAGAAATAATTAAATAATATATAAATATTTAAATAATTAGCATATCTTAAGTCAGTTTTTAAAACACATGTTATGAAACCACATTGAAAATCTGACAGGTAATGTAAAGGCAATGTAAAGGGTAATGTAACACCCTTGTCTCAATGTCACATATGCCATACATACAAAGCACAAAGCCACAATGTGTTGACATAGCAGTACAATAGATCACAAACAGAGCGTTGAGTCCTTTTCTTTTAGTACCTACTCGGATCGTCTCGCTTCTGCTCCATCTGCTGGTCCATGGACAATAAATAAATACATAAAAAATACAGGCACAGAAATAAAGCGAAAGAGAAGCTTCATCTACAACCCACAGTCAGAGAGGAAGAATTTTGTTCTTTGTTTAATAAACCTCTTCCTGGTTCACAATCAATGTGTGTGTATTGCTATGAAAGAGGTTGCCACTCCTTATAGACACACCCAGTGGTTGCTTGAACGGTGCTTAAACTGTTGGCAGGTTTGGACAGGTATTCTATAGCAAAACAGCTGACTGTACCTGTCCCGGCTGAGTGGGACTTAGACTGACATCTTTTATTTATTTATTTAAAAAAAGGGAAACAGCTGGAGTAATTTAAACTTTCTTATCTTTTAGTGGACAATTTTTTTTCATCCTGATGCTTAGAAGAGTGCTTGTGTTTTATGAGATCTCTTCAGAACAACGGTAAGTGCCTTAAATACTGACCCAGTTAGAAAAATATTAGAAAACATTAAAGGTTAATTTTGAAGATGTCGTAAAACATGCACCTTAGTATACTTACCTTTTTTTTTCTAAAGTGACAATTACAATTGCTTTAACCAGTTCAGAATTTTATACTGAAATTTGAATGTAACCAAATACACAAACACTGAGTATACATAGAATAAGTGGTGCATTGCCTGCTGATCTACATCTACACCAAGCTTTCTATTCTTAAGTCCAATTGTCTAACATTGTTCTCTAAATTAGTTTAATGTGTCTCCAGGCTCTTCTCTTGATTCCTGGGTGTGTTTGCATCTTCTTAAAACATGGACAAAAAGGAAGGTGAGAAGCTCAACACATAATAATTCACACAGAACACAAATTCACATTTTTAAAGTGCAATATTGAGTCATTTGCATCAAACCTGAAAAAAAAAATTCCGGTATTTGAAAACCTAAAATGTTTCAGAGCGTTTACTTTCTGTATAAATTTTGTCGTTTCTGTTCTTCACAGGTGCACATCAGGTATTCAGTGATGTTGCATCACTGATGGCCCTTGCTGGTGATAAATGTGTGTTTTGTCAAAAGAAAGAACGTGCAAACAAGGATCACCTTCACAAAAAGCATCTCAAAGATGGAATTTATTTTTTGGAAAAAAAACAAGGTAAGGACTAGATGTACGTGTAAACAAAGTGGACTTGGGGATTACTACACACTACACTATTCTTCAATTTAGTATTTAAATGTTTGTCTTGGTTATTAGTTTGTCATTATTTAAATCAGTTTATAATTCCCCTGATTTTCTCGAGGCATATTTGTTTATTTGGCTTAATTTGTTTGCTGTTAGTAATCTGCTTGTGTTCCTTTTTAGTCTTCTCTTAAGAAAAAAGGGACACGAGTATTAACAGTGCTATTTCTAAATCATATGCCAGGTATTATAGGTGCACAGCTGTGTAAATATGAATTGTGGTGTATAAAAAGTTACAGAGTCCAATGATGTGTGTTTAGTCTAGTTTAATTATTTGTAGGTCTGCCCCACATGGATAAACCCACGTAATCTCATTCTGCTCTTATTATTTGCATGTCTCTTTTCGAAGTCTAGTCTAGTGTGTGTATGTGTGTCTCCAGAAAAAAAATCTTTTGGCCAATTTGGATGTTTGTCATGCTGTGTGTGATAAAATATGTGTATTAGTTTATGTGCGTTGCTCAAAATAATTAAAGAAATATGTATCAGAGTAGAGCCCTTAGTTGATTATTTTCAGTGCCATTAAAATGTTGTGCCAGCCTTTCATTCCTAACATATTGCCTAGTCCATATCAGTGCAAATATCCAGTATGAATACTTTTTCTTTTCAACTGGCTTTTTTGGTCCCTGGATTGCCAGTATGCCTTTCTCCCCAAGGTGTCACTGACTAGGTGACTTTGTATTAACCATTTCATGTACTGAAAAGCATTTACTCGCTTGTTTTTCAGAGAAATTTGTGGTGGCCTGCTATTGCAAGGATGTCAAAGGAGCAAAGAGAAGCCATTATCATTGTCCGTTGTGTAACTTTGCAATTTTAACACGATCTTCTATCTTCTCGAAACATTTAAAAGACAGACATGGTAAGAGTTCTGCTATGGCATCCGCAAATATCCACAGATCTTCTCAGCATATAACTACCAAGAAGGGGGAGAATAGCTGTCTTTTAGTGAAGATGCACGACATCATTAAAGCATGTTCTTTTTTATAGAGGTCTTTAAAGTTAAATTTACACGAAAAGACATCCATATTATTATACCAATATATAACATACTTTGTGCCTTATTTTTTCAATTTCTTTATTCTGCAGGTATCAAATCAAGCAAAAAACAAGGTAATTTAACACTATTTTATTTTATGATCATACTGTTATACTTTGATATACAGATAGATAGATAACAGTGATGCAATTACCTCACTGTCATAGTTGTTCCCCATCTTTGAACCCACTCTTGTGCCTATACCTTGAAAAAAGCAACATCAGTTCATGGCAATAATTTATTTTCAGAATGAAACAAAAGCATCTTTATTAGATTTTAGAATGATGTGATTAACAGCTGTTTTTTTTGTTTGTTTTTTGCATAGAAACCCCAAGCTCTTTAAAAAGAAAGGCTGAAAACATTAGCGATGATTCCCCAGAGGACTCAGATTCAAAGCCCGAACAATTTTTATGCACCCCCTGCACAGCTATGATGAGTAAACAGCCACACATAAAAAGACCCATCAGAGAAGTACATCACCTGGACTCTGCACCGATGACATGTATTGATGTTATAAATGGCATTTATGTCACACCAGAACACACAGAAACACAACACAGTCCAGCTTTTCCAATTCACGTCATGAAGTCTGCTAATCCACCACAAATAGACTGTGAGGTTGAGAAGTGTCGCAGGTTCATGCAGATGGCTCGATTTTCAGGAAATCCGGGAAAAGAATGTGTTCATTTAGAAAGAACAAAAAATGCCAAGCCATATGTTAAGCCAGCAGTCCTTACATCAAAATCACTTCAGGACATGTTGAGCAGAGGGCTAATGTCATCTGAGTGGGGCGCAAAATGTGAGGCACTCGACAGTGCTGCCAAACAATGTGGTGTTGATAGCGTATTTCCTGTGTGTTATGAAGATCAGGGGCCCTCACAACAGTGGTATTTTTTCTCAGTTTTTACAAATGAAACTGACCACTGGTGTCAGTTCCAGAGGACAAGGGTGACATTTGATTCAGTAACTAGAAAATGGAATTGCCAGTGTCAGGGAACAGAACGATCTCAGCAATGTATCCACGTAATGATGGGAATGTGGTGGATTTTCCAGGAGACATCAGAGAACAGCATTATTAGTGAGACATCAAAAAATATATCCACAGCAAAAATATGTAGAATGACAGAATATATTTACACCAAAAAGCGCATTCCACGTCCGAAGGACCTGAAGTTAGGCACTCAAGAGGAAAAACCACCGCCATCTTTTGTTCCTTGGGAAAACACCTGTCCCTACTGTCCAGGGCCGACCCCTCCTCAGCTTAACGCCCCAAAAGTTATCACCAACCAAGCTGTGATATATGGTCTTAGCAATTTCCACAAAGGTAAGTCACAACAACAACAAAACATGCAAACAGTGTTATGTGTATGCCTTTGGCATACAACTATCTTCAACCTATTACAAAGTACTTTTCTTTAATTATCAGGTGTCTCCGTTGCTATGAAAGAGTGCCCACGGTGTGCTAACACTGTGAGATTTCAGGAGTATTCCTCTGGTTTCCACAATTTTAACAACCACATCTTATTAACACTACCTCTATGTGAACTCCTGCTGTCAGGTTTGGAGGTAAGCCAACTAACAATGAATTGTGGAACCACTATTTGGAAAGTGCATTAAGGAAGTTTATTACAAATAACAACAATAACAAAACATATCCATATTTTGAGAAAATTAATCTCAACATGTTTGGACATTGAAAGCCAATTCTATATGTTGTTTAATTGCAGAACAAGACAACCAGTGGACGTATGCTGGACACTCTGTCAGTACTTAATGACAATCGCTACCACCACCAAATGGTGAAGAAGGCATTCCACCACTTTTTGTCATTATCAGACTTTGACTTCAACTTCTTTTGCTACCAGTGTGGACACCACCCAGCTGTGGTTGTGGCAGATGGCAACTGGAAACTAGGCTTTGATGTACCTCGTAAGGACAATGTCTTTTCTCTTGGAAATGTGTAAACTACTAAATTTCGGTGAAGAATTTGATAAAACTGCATTGTTAACTGTGTTTAATTTCATTTGAAGTTGGATCATTTGAAAGGCCAGATCCAGATACCATATCTGACAAGGATCTTGAAGTGGATATCGTCAAGGCATGGACAGATCTGGACAAATCACTCATAGCAGAAGGCCTTATAGCAGGTTTGTTATAGTGTGAGAACTTTACACGACAATAGTTTTAGGACCGTCTAGAATTATAAAGCACAACACTGTCTCTATTATGAATATTTGTACAAATCAAAAGACTGTGTCTTCCAAATAGGAACATCTGTTGCAAACCCATACTGCAAATCTGTTCACCAGTCTACTATGGCACCATGGATGGGAAAGCACACTAGATTGAGGGATATCCTTCCAAAAACTGAGATTAAAAAGGCACTGAAAGAAAAAAATGATCAGAACAAACATTCACCAGAACAAATAATTGAAGACATAATGCTTCAAACCACTGACTCAGAGAAGGTAAAACTAATCAAATTTCTATTTGTTGTTTTTTTTTAATATTTACTTTTGTCATTGTTACTGTGGATCTTTCTTTTTATAGAACCAGAAAAAAGAATCCCAGAATGCACTGGGTATGATTAATGGATTCAAGGAACTACACCCAAAACTTTCCAAGAAACTTCAAAAAACAGGTGATGAGTTTTTTTTTCTCTTTGAACATCCTCAAATTTTTAAAAAAGTACTTTTGACATATAATTTTTTGTAATTTATATATTTTTTAGGTGGTGTACTTCATTTCTCCTGTGTCCATGGTGTTGTTTATTATATCAATTTTCTTTTCTGGATGGAGTCAGCAAGGGACCATGCAGATGGCTTGCTAAGTTTTAAGCACGTTCCAACCTGTTACATTTCTGACATGGCTGGTGAGGTTGCCAGCCACACTAATGACCAAACTAATCAGATGTTTTTTAAGCCACACGATGGAAGACTTTGTGCACCAACCACAGATAATCTAAAACTAGCAACCAAAAATGAACTAAAGGTTGAAATGCAATGGGTGAAGAACCTCAGATTTCCATTACCAGTGAAGTTACAGCAAAATATAAATGGAACACCAGCAGTACATCCAATCACAAGGACATCTGACAGGTATTCACTGTATGATCAATTCCACCAAATAAATCCAAGACATCCAGAAGATAATTTAAGAAGCCTTGTCATCTGCCCAACACTTCGACGAGAGGTCAACTCTGCAGTAGCAAAACAGTTCAATCAAGAGCTTGAATCCATTTGGCAATCTTTGTGCCAAATGAATGAATCCCACTTCAAACAGACTGTGAGAGTGTTGATTGAACTACACAATGAAAAAATTAACAGGACATTTAAGGCTGAGATGGAGGCTTTGGGCAACACACAATTGTCTGTTGGACTGCATGGGATGTTGGGATTTCATACTGCTGGTAGGTTTGACTGATATATGATATAATAATAACTCATAAAAATATCACAGTTTTGTAAGCACAGGTGTCTTTGGCTGGGAAGGTAGAGGATGTCATCTACTAGTGAGAAGGCTATTGTGTTATTCCTCGGCTCCCTCAGTCAATGGTGTTGGTTTTTTGTGTTAGTGTGTTTGGGGAAAAAAATTGTATGAATTTTTGAGTTCGAGCCTTGTAGTAAGCAAACAGTTTGAGTGCTTGAAAAACATGAAATGCGTTGTTTAGACGATAGATCATTGCTCAGTTTTGTTTTGTTTTTTAGAAGGGGAGGAACACAGTGTGTTGAAATCCTCATCCATATCACAATTATATGCCACAAGTGATGATGAGAAGGTAAAAAAAACCCTCGTATTGCACTTTGATGTTGACATACAGAACATTATTAAAGTTCTTAAGAGTTAGTATGCTATCTTTCTGTGCGCATAAAGGAGAAACTCAATCAGCTACTCTCTGGATCCCGTGATGAAACTCAAGCCCTGGCTTATGTTTCACGAATATTTCCAGTCTCAATAAAAGACATTAGCAGCGTTTGCCCACTAGACTTGTTGCTTCAGTCATCATTGTCATCGCCGTGGTTGACAGATGATGTAAGTGCTGAAAAATAAAATTGTTTTTGTTTTTTACCACAATTAAGAGCTTTGTTTGTTAAGAAATCATCTGCCAGCCACAAATCTTGTTTTTGTAAACATTCCAGGCTGTTAACTATCGGGTGGGGCAGCTCGCTCAAGAAAACAAGGTGACTCATTTTCATTTGTTTCCTTTATGATATTTTCATTGGTCAATGAGTATTTATGAAATGCTTAATGAGATGTTCTATTTGACAGTGTGGTGCTTTAGGCACCTTTGATTTCACTTTGTGGCACCGGGAATGGACCGAATCTGGAGCAGTCAGTGATGAAGTTGCCAAATGCATTCCGGTAGGTCCTTTTTGCATAATTAAAAACATAAAAACAATAAATAAATAAAAAATCCCAAACATAAATTTACAAAAACAATATTGCTTTTTACATGCTACATGACCCGTGTGCACCTACAACTGTTACGTTTGTGCTACAGGACTCAGAAAAGATATTCCTTCCCAGAATTGTGGGTCATTCTTCACCAGAGACAGGCAACCATTTCATCCTTTGGGTGAGCCAAAACATTTTAGGAAAGAGATTTCAGCCTATAACATTTACTCTTTTTATATTTTTCTGAGCATTTAAGATTATATATGTTTGTAGGTGTTTGACTTCAAAGCCAAACAGATTAGAATATACGACTCACTGATGACTTCCAGCAGCATCAGTGATGATGACATGGACCTGCTCAGGTAAAAGGAGATTTTGTGCTACAGTTTTAGTTTGCAGGTAAATGAATGCGATACTGATGGAGCTGAACTGCTGCCACTCTCTTTTTTAGAAACGTCTTCAGGTTTTCTGGTGGGCTTCAAGGTTGGACAGTCAAATATCCTCCACAGTGGAAGCAGGAGGACTCCGTTAATTGTGGTGTTTTTGTGTGTTCGGTGAGTTTGCTGTCCTGGGAGCTGCTACTTTTGCATGATTTATTGGTTGCTCACGTGTTGGGTCATCATTGTTAATTTTATTTCAAACTAGGCTGCAGAAAATGAAGTCCTACATCACAAGGTCACTGATGATGCTCTGACCCTTAGTGAGTGCAGGATTCTTCGTCTGCACCACGCTACACAAATGCTGAAAAATGTGAAAGCTGAGGTTAGAGAAATAGATATCTGAGTATAACAAAATCTTTACTGGTAGTATATGAAATATTGTGTGATAATATTAAGGGTTTTGTTATTTAGGATTTCCCACCGACTATGGAAGACATGTTGAAGATTCGACAGAAAGAAATGGAAATACAAGAAGCTGGAGTTGAACAGACCGACTCAGGGATTCATTGCATGGCCATGCAAATAAAGGCATGCTTGTTCCAGAGAGTGACTGGGAAAACCAGGTGTGCATAACAACACTGACAACTAAACATTATTTATGTATCAAACATTTCAGAATGAAAGTTATTCTTTTTTTTAAAACATGGTAGAAATTTAAAATTCACTTTGATTTTCTACAGTGTTTTTCATGACCACAGAAATCAATGTATGTGGCTACTGTGCACTGTCTGCAAAAAATGTCTGCATTTTGAGTGTGCTGGTGTGGAGGGAGACTCGAAAGACTGGGAATCAAAGGGTTTTGTTTGCGGATGCAACCTTACAACTAATGTGTAAGAAACTCTTGATTTGAATATCAGTTACTGTCATACTGTTGTTGTAAGTTTACATATGGTCATCATAAGCATTAACATTTAATTTTGTGTAATTTTGTGGTTTGGTAATGATTTCTTTAAACTATTCTTTTTCCAGGGTGGAATGATTGCATCACAAATATCTTGAATGACTTGTAGTGCACAATTTTTATTTTAGATTTTCTCTGGTCCACAGAGTCAAAATTGTACATAAGGGCTCAAATATAGACATATACTAAAGTGTTTAAACAAGTGGTTGTCAAGGTTCTATGATGCTATTTACCTTGTCAAGGCTAAGGCCTATTACCTTCTCATTTCTGATCACCCAAAAGTAATTTATTTGACAGCACTTATTGGACTGACCAATACTCCGAATAATGAGAAAGTCTAAGTGAAGATATAAGAAGGAGAATAGTAAATTTACACAACTTGCGAAGGTCTTTTAAAATGGAGTCCCTGCTAGGGCCGTAACACTGAGCTATTTAGGAAAAAATGTGTTTGGAGGACTAAAAAGCCAAAAACCAAGAACATTATGCCAAAGGTCAAGCATTGTGGCCAAAAACACATCACAACTCATTTTGGAATACATAAAACAGTCTAATATTAAGCTTTTGGAATGGCCTCCCTAAATCCTCAAACTTAAATTTTTTGGACTATGCTAAAGAGCTGGATAAAGAGCTCCAAGCAAAGTCATTAGGCTTAAGAACTCTACTAATTTTTCCAATACTCAAATATCAAGTCAGAATTTTGATTCTGTGCGGCTAAAAGAAAATACCAAAATAAATTCAAACTAGTGCACCCAATTTTTGTATTTGTTGAAACAACTGTAACCCACATAATTTCCTTAAGGATCAATAAAGTATTATCATTAAGATTATTTTGTATGATTATTTTACCCTGGAAGCAGAACAGTTAAAAAAAAAATCTTTAGAATCCACAAATTACCATGACAACCATAAGTGTAGGTAAACATCTGACCTGTACAGTATAAAGATTTAAATACAAATGTTGCAGATTGTGGTTAATTTAAGGCTCATGGGCAATGCTTTTGTCTCAAACAGAGGTGACATGCTGGAGGCTGTTACAGTTACAGAAATCCTTTCAGATGAAGAAATTAAGGTGATTTAATGCATTCTAACGTTTCTTCACTAACCTGTATGTCATGTTATCAGCTACCATACATTTAAATCACATTTTATATTCTAATATTACAGGATTTGGAAAGAAAACTGCAGAGTGGACTTGTTCTCTCCAATCGGATGTATCTGTGGAATCACAGAGAATTTGATCCTGAACTTCGCAAACATTACAGTGAACATTTTACTTTATTCAGTGACATAAAGGTATTGTATATTCAGTGTTTATGATCTTATTCACACTTACAACTTGAGTTTAGCATCCATAGTAATCTGTAGTTTTTCACTCAAGTATGTTTACATAACCTAAACATTTCAGGATCTTTACATTAAAAAATATAAAGTGTCTTGAAGCAACTGTTGTTGTGATTTGGTTCTATATGCATAAAAACTGAACTGCAGTGCACTGAACAGAAACAAATTCAAAAAAACAGATTTTATATCATGCCCTTCAACTATTAATCTGCAAAAAGTCTACCCAACATTTGCCCCCCCTCAGCTGGGGCCTCTAGCCCTGCTGCGACAGTAAACAGAATATGTAGTTAAATAAGTGGATGGATGAATGTATCCATATCAGGATTAACATAACTAATAAGCCAAAACTCTAACTGCGTGGCAACATCTGCATAATAACACTGAAATAAGCCATTCTAAGGCTTAGTAATGGGATGGTAATACTACAAAAATATATAGTTTTATATTCATTTTACTACCATGTATTTTAAATGACTTTAAGACACTTTGTGACAATTGTTTATTGTTTTTTACATTTATTTCATTAGTTCTATACATTGCACTATACAAGCAAATTTTACTTTTACTTGGTGATGGTGGCAAGAAAAACTTTGTTGGACATTTTCTTAACCAGTAAATTGTGTCACGGCGGGGTGTGTAGATGAGGTAGACCCAAAAGCAGACACGGTGGAGACAGAACTAAGTTTCCAAAAATAAAGTGAGCCTTTATTGTGGCTGATGTCATGAGAATAACACTAGAGACACACCGAAACTGGGAAAACTAAGGGGACTAAGAACACTGTGTAAATTAAAAGACTATGACACTCTGTGAAAACAACTATGAAAAACTATGAACACAGAGTATCTAGGAATGCTATGAAACACAGTGAAATGAGGGAAAACTATGTCAGACAACCTGACAAAGAGACAAAGGACTTAAACATGCACATAAGGTGATCAGGGGGAGTGGAGACACGTGAGGAAACAGCTGACGAGGATGAACATAATGATGCACAGGAAATGTAAACCAAAAACAAAAAGACATGAAAACTGGACTTTTACAATAGACAAGAAAACATGACAAGACGGAGGCATGACACAAACTTGACAACATTAATCAGGCAGGCAAGAAACATGACCAATAATACATTTAGCTCTGTGGGAGTGGGAGCATATTCGAGCTGACAGTGACAGTGCACCAGACATGCAACCTGTGTCCTATGCTTTTACCCCATGTCTTCTGTCCTTTTTGGTATTCCAGACAGAAGAAATGATCCAAAGACTTGAAAGAATTCTGTCAACGCCAGTGGAGGAGCAGCTATACCTTAGAGAGGTCATTTTGCCAGAGGTGAGCCGAGAACAAAAAAGATCAAAGATTGAAAAAATGTTGTAGATATTCTGAACGAATTATATGTGTCAGAAACAGACAAGCATAATTTAGGACATGTGGTTTTTACTATAATTAATTTCTTGAACGGAGAATGAAAACTGCAGAACTTCAAGTGAACATCTATACAAGAAATACAGCTTAAAGGTGGTAACTTTAACTTTATTGTTGTTAAGGTTTTGATTCGATGGTTGCAAAGCAGCGGGAAAATGTGCAGATACCAAGCTGAATCTATACTTCTGGAGGGCACATCTTACAAAGGCATGGAAATGTAAGTTCCATTGTTTACATTGTAGGTTTACTCACAGTTTAATCTGATTTTGCTGACTGAGTGTGGCAAAGGATAATTACTCACATTTGTATTTTTGTTTTTTCTTAATCAGTACAAGAGAGACAACAGCTGGTGATTCTGGACAAATAGAAGATGTAAGAGAAAACACACACAGACACACTAAAAATTACATAGCAAAACACTTTGTATAAAAATCTACACTTGAGTGTCCTTGTGTGTGAGTTTCAACTTGCAAGTTAAAAAAAGAGGAGGGCAAAGTCTGTGATGTACGAGCATTGTTTTGTATTTTACATGTAATAGTATTAATACTGTCAACACTTTGTCTTTTTTTTCTGCAGGAAAACACTTTTCAAAGTGACTGCAAAGCTGCGGCTGCTTTTTGCTACAACAAGGACTTGGATGGAAAAATTGACCTTCATGAGGTCAAATTGGAAGAAGAAGAAACCCTGCATGACATGCAGATCCAGGAGGGTGGTCACCATGACGATTCCCAAGGAGAAAATGTCACATTTGTATATCAAAAAAGCGATGACAGTGACAGCGCTGAGACAGAACTTACAATTTCTAAAGAAATCTTAGCCATGTTCAAGAAAGAAAATGAAATTCCTGACCTTAACCTTTCAGGCCCTAACTTTATAAGTACTTGATTTCTGGTTTATGTTTGTTTCTCTTCAGTCTGTCTTTTGGGTGGCTGTGGCTCAGGAGGTTAACCAGGTCACCAACTAATCAGGTTTTTGGTTTAATCCTCATCTGCTGCAGTCCTGCATGCCAAATATCCTGGGGCAAGATAGTAACCCCAAGTTGCTTTTATATGAATGTGAAAGCATGTACATGTAAGATAGAATACACTTACATAGGAAAAGCATTTTTAACAAGTGTATGGATGAAGTAAATTGTGCAAAATCATTTTAAATGCTCAGACTTGAAGAACTAGTCCATTTACCAGTCAGTGTCCATTTGTCTACCTCTGATTCCTGAGTACCGTGTCTGTGTCTGGCCTTAATGCTCTGTCTACGTGAATACCTTTGTTGTACCTTATCCCTGTATTTTCTCCCTTCCTGTTCCCAGGCTCATCTCTCTGTCTTTTCCTCGGTGTCTTTTTCGGCAGGTGTTTTACCTGCTGCTTCGAAGCATAGCCAGTCACAAGGATTCACATTTTTCTTTTAACCAGAGTCTTTAGGACCTGTATTTATTGAATTGATGCTTATGATACAACTGTGAATGCATGAAACAAAATGTTGCACTCTCTCATTGTTATTTTTGCTGTGGACTGTAAAGACCAAAATAGACTATCCACTCACTGAAACACTGGAATTCAAAGTGTAATTAAACAAACATTATTTAAATAGATAGAAATAATATATAAACATTTTACTTTAATGATTACTGGCACATAGATGAGAGAAAGCTAGAGACAGAGACTGGTGAGTGGGCTTCATCCCCTCCCATCAGCAGAGCAGATCTAGTTTTTTCTACTTTCTGATGTTCTACACACATAAAGAATATATTTATAAATTAAAAAAAAAAAGCTAAACAAACACATTTATCAATTACAGGGGATGTATTTCTTAACATTTTTTATGACAAATGTTTTTTTTTCTTTTCTCACTGATGCTCCATTTGTTAATACCTCAAAAACAACAGGAGTAATGCAGTTTCACTGTAGCCTAAACTCCAACCTCACCATAAACATCATGCCAGTGTTACAAAACACACAGCAACCAAAGCAGTGTGAACTTCATGCTATTTCTTTTCTAGCATATACATTGTGTTGACATAGAGATATTCATGTATTTAAGCGCACAAATTAGTATGAGTGTGGGTGTTGTGTGTATATACTGTCTACATCCCCCTCACTGTATTTACAGTTTCTGTCTGTCAGTTTTCCTCTTAGAGGATTTGATCTGTATTGATCTTTTTTTCCCAGCATTTAGTCAATAAAGCTGTTTTCTTTTTAAAATTTAATTCTGTTAATATCGTTAATATCGTTAATATTCTGTTAATATCCTTGGGCAAGACACTTCACCTACCGCCTACTGGTGTTGGCCAGAGGGGCCGATGGCGCGATATGGCAGCCTCGCTTCTGTCTGTCAGTTTGAATGAAAACACACGCTGTTGTGACAGTGATGTACACTGTCTTGTTGGTATATGTATGATTTCTATACATTTTACATCAGATAAAAACTTTGGTCCCTGTTAATGTCCTACCTGGCCCCCTGGCAAAACTTTGCTAGACCCGCCCCTGCACAGTTACCAGCTGTCAGCTACATAGAAAAGGTTCCTGGTGTTATTTGTCAGAAACAGTTCATAACTTCCCTTCAACTCATTCATGTCACCTACTGTACATCATCAACAAAAGAGTCAGAGAAACTGAAGATGTCTTTGTGTGTAAGCGACTAGGGTGAAGACATTCATTAGATTTCCATGGTCTTCGAGCCCTGAGAACAAACTGCATCACTCATCTGATTGTATCTCTAACATTACTAAATGGCCCAGGAATACTTCCAGAAATCTCTGTAGGTTAACACAATCCACTGTGCCACCTGCAGATGCCAACTAAAGCTCTATGATGCATATTTAAACATAGTCCAGAAGTGCCGTCATGTCTTGTGGGTAAAGACTCATTTGAAATGAACTGTTTCATAGTGGGCAAGTGTTCTTTGCTCATAATGGTCCAAATATACATTATTTTTGGTAATCATGGACGCTGCTTTCCCGGTGCTAAAACGGAGGATGACTTTCCAGTGTGTTATCAGCGCTTAGTTTAAAAGCCAGCATCTCTTATGGTATGAAGGTGCGTAAGCGCAGTAAGGGCAGCTTGCATGTTTTAGAAGGAACTATGAATGCTGAAAGGTTTATAAAGCTTTTAGAGCAACATATGCTGCAGTCCAGATTACTTCTGTTCTTAGTTGCCTAAAACGTGTCTTATAGGAGCCACTGTAGCTGCGATTATACACTTGAATTGGAAAGAAAGTTCAGCACACCCAGGGCATCTTTGCCTTATCTGGATTCTCTTACCCTAACAGTGGTGATCGGGATAAATGATCACACAAAGCTGATTATCAGCTCTCTAAGTTAACCCAGGGTTTACTCATTCACGTAAGGAATGAATTTGGAAATCTCTGGCCAACTAATGTACCAGCAGCCTAGTGACTGATTTTACCAAGACAGAGTAAATAATAATATAGGAAAACATGAAGAGGTTACAAATACAAAATACAAGTAACACAACTGCTGTGGATAAGCCTGTGGTGTGAGAGGAAAAGCAGTGTAGCACTTATCAATATCAAAACTTTATCATTAAGACATAGGAGAGTCAGAGTTATAATAAAGTATAATAGTATTCTATTAGTTTAATATTAAAATACCATAAAACTATTTTAGTTTTATATATAAATGACCCACACGCTGCAGTGTGATTGCAAACTCTTTACTTTCAGTGTGCTTTTTCAACAAGTTTGTGCTTTTCAGGAGCAGCTTTTCAGCTCCTCATCTCTTAGCAGTGCCTTCCTACTGCTGCTCCTGCTTCTCTATGCTTTCGGTGGCTACTCAGGCATGATTAGTGCTCCACCCATCTCCTGCAGCAGAGCAACTAACCACACCCCACTACAATTATAGAGGAATACAATGAAATTAAACACAAACAAACAAACAAACAAACAAACAAACAAACAAACAAACAAACAAACAAACAAACAAACAAACAAACAAACAAACAAACAAACAGGAAATTGTGTCTAAGAATCTAGCTTACTGAAGCTCATAACACAAGGACACCAGATGCTATTTAAAAAATACAATTGAGTTAATCAAGTAAATAAGTTACCATGGTGATTTACCCCAGTCACCCTGTCTTCATAGTTAAGAAAACCAAGGATTCACCCTGCATGAGACAAAATCCTGCTTTGTAGTACAGGCCTGTGGTCGTGTGTGACCTGTTAACAGTTATAGTTAGGTTCACATTTATGCCATCTAGTGGCTCATTGGGGATCTAGTGGAGAAGTAGATGAATGAATGAAGCAGGAGCTGGCATACATATTGCACAATTCACTGCAGAGAGTCGGTTTATATTTTGACATGTTTGTCACAGACCATGTCTTTGACTGCTGCAGGTTATAACATCACCTCAAGCAACAGGTAGTGAGTACATCAGACTGCTATATGAAAAAATCAATCAACACTCATACAGGAAATATATAAAAGTCTGTGAAGTACACACAGAGGTATGTTTGTCTTTGCTTATTGTTTAGCATAGATGCTTGGTTTTTCCACAAGGTATATGAAGGTTTTTTAACCCGTTCAGCTCCACCTACAAAATGCATCATCCTTGGTTACAGACTTTAAAAAAAGTCTATAAAGTCAGGATTCATCTGGCTTCATTTAAAGCACTTTGAAGTTAATGATTTGATGCCCTGGATGTTTGAAATTGCTTGGATTTAAATAGCTAAACTCTTTGAATTCACACAGACCTTTTGTTTTCTGTCAGTGTCTGTGCTCTGTGATATATCAACTTTATTGATTTAGCTGTGTGATTATTGAAAACTGTAGTTGTTTCTTTTCTTTTTTTTTCAGATCAAAGAAAAGTATCAGTCACACTTGGAGAAGATGCCACTCTGCAGCCATCATAATGTTAAAGTGGAAAAAGCCCGGCCTGCAGTTGCACCATGTATTTTACCTTAGACATGACCGCATTCATGATGACTACCAGCATGGATTTCTTAAAGGTTGAGTGACACTGAAAGATCCGGAGTGGAAGAAGACAGGAAATCTTTCAGTGATTCTCAAAAACATCACCATGAATGACGCGGGAACATATGAATGTCATGCTGGATACAACAATGATGTGAAGCTCTTGAGCACAGTAAACTTGAGTGTTGTTGATCCTCCAGGTGAGTGAGTAGAGTTGAGTGTGTGTGTGTGTGATCAGAGGTGAAGCTGCTTCCTGGTTGTTGATGTTTGTTTCTAAAGATGTTGTTGATGAGACTTTGTAGAAAGCAGCTGGTCTGAGTGATGTGATCAGAGTGCAGTAGATAATGTCTGACAGCAGTTTGAAGAGGAAATGGATTCTGTTCTGTTCTTCACTCATCACCTACCTGACAGCTGACACCTCACACCTGTTTCTCACCTGCAGGTCAGACAGAAGGACACACAGAGGATGGAGGGAAGGAGGCTGGATCTGTTGGACTGATAGTTGGTCTGCCAGTTTCAGTTGTGCTCCTTGCTGCTGCTGCTGCTGTTGTTGTTGTTGGGTTTTTGATCTACAAAAGACGAACAGGGCCATACCAGTCTGGACACGCAGTAGAGAATGAGCTGCAGACTTCAAACATATAAAATCTGTTTCATCTCTGTCAAACCTCCTGTTTTGTTCTGTTTGTCAGTGGCTCTGTGAACTTCAGTGTGTGTTCATGTGTTTTGTTTGAAGATGCTGCTTAATCTTTAACAATGTTCTGTAGTCAAAATGATTCAAAGCTTTTCTTTTCTCAAGAAGGTTCAGAAAGTGTGTGGAGGTCTGTAATAAGTGACATTTTTAAGTTATGCTAGTGTTCCAGTTTGTCTTCATGGTGGCAGCTTCGTATCTCTGTCATAATGCTGCTGTATGGTAGGCTTAAAAAGCCCAATGCGTTTAAGCTTTCTTCCTGTTAAAGAGAAATCTTCCTTCCCACTGTCACTGAATGCTTGCTCACAGTGGGGCGTCTGTTTGTTGGGGTTTTCTCTGTATTATTGTAGGGTCCTGAGGTGATTGTTATTATGTTTTGGTCCTCTATAAATAAAATTGAATTCAACTGACCTCACTGTAAACAATTTATTTTCCTGTGTTCAGTCACTGTCAGCACAGAAAAAGAAAGCAAAACCAAACAGAGAGTTTCCTTCACCAAAGCTCCACTAGTCTTCTAGATTTATCACAATTGCACTGTTATCTTTTAAGTCATTTTGAGTCTCATTTTACCTCATTGGAAAAAAAGTAAAGAGAAAAACTGTCACAAACACTGCAGTTGACTCGAGAGCAGGACTCAGAGGAATCAGAGTTCAGTGTGTTTATTTATAGTGGTCACCAAAAACGTGCTACGTACAAAGTGGAAGAGGAAAAGGGAACAGGCAACTCTATTCAGCTCAGGTAGGCTCAAAACACTCCAGGGAGGTGACTCGGTGAACATCTGTACACAGGGAAACACGAGGTGAATTTCTTCAATGCTGATGAGATCATCAATGACCGGTCGGGGATTTCCTCAGGTGCATAAAGCCATGGGCGGGAATCCAAGGGAACAAACAACAGCAAGTGATCACAGATAGACGAGAGGAGAGACAGAAACTGAAGCAGAGAGAAAGAAAAGATGAAACCTGGTGACATCAACCAGGAAGAAGCAAGTAAACGTGCACATTTAAGGAAGCTAGAGTCATGAGATACAGTGTTTTTCTTTTGTTAATCATGTGATGTAGAAAAATAGATCACATGGTTGGTATTTTTAATGATTTAAAGCCTTGCCGTAATGGTCTATTTGATTCACCTTTTATTGTTTTTTTAATTTGTTTTTTATTTTAACTTGCTAGATACGGGACAGACTTGAATGAGGAAAAGAAAAGGGAGAAAGGAAGAGTGGGGAAAAGACAGCGGAGAAGAGGGACGGGGATAAAGGGCAAAAAAACAAGAAACAACTAAATAAGCAGACAAAAAAATAAAAAGAAAGTTTGAGCTCGCTCTATCCTCACTCTCTATTTGACTAATTATTTAGCATGCTGGCTTTATACGTTTGTGTGTGTGTGTGTGTGTGTGAGAGTGATATGAGTATTCTGAGTGAATTTTAGGATCATGCTGTTAACACATATTTATGCTAATAACTGATCTTTTAGTAAAGCTTCTGTACAGTTATGGTTACAGGTGATCTTCTCAGCCCAGAAACACTCAGCCTCCAGGGTTAATACAGCCTCGAGATTCATCTAAACACTATATAAATGATGACAGAATTTTATCAGAAACATGTTTAATCATTAAAACATTTTTTTTATTTTAAGCAGTGTTTTACAACATGCACAAAAATGTAAATAAATAACAACCAATGACAAAAAAATTAAATAAAAAAATATTTGGAAATTTGCTCATTGTTAGATTACTTAGAAGTGATGACTCATGTGAGAAAACGTAACTTTTCGTGTGACTTACTGTCACGTGATCTATAACCACCTTCTTGTTGATCTACACACAGCGAACATTCCTCCTTCAGAAACTTGTCTCGACATGTTCGGAAAGCTGTTTGAACTGTTATTGTTTGCATCTGTTTCTCATGAAAGAGGGTGTTCACACTACATACCTGAATCAACTTGTTTACCAGATCAGAATATTTGTGATAAAAATAGCTTTTACAAGCGCAAACAGAAACCCCGGCTTATTGTGACTTTATTTTTAGCTGCTTACTTATTTACAAGAAGTCACAACATTTAATTCGGCACAAATCTTATACCCGATTCCCTTCTTGATGCAACCTTTCCAGGGACTTGTGTCTCATCCCAGTATTGAACTAGTGATCCTTCATGTCTTACACAAACATTATGGAGCTATTGAACCCTGCTTATTTCTCCCCATCACTAAAAAATGCATTCAAAACAGTTTTAAATCATTTGATGGACATTATGTTTTAAACACATCAGGGAGGAGTGGAAATTTTCTTAATTTCAAAACTTTCCCTGCTGCTGATACATGCAGCTGTGTAGAACACACACGCTGCTGATCAAGTGCAGATATCTCGTCATACACGAAGTACACACTGGTACAGAATGAATTGCCAAATGTTGCAGCACATTAGAAGACATGGACACAACAGCATCCTCATAGATGAGTACTCACATCATTATTGTCATTGACCAGAAAGTACCACTGAGATCAAGATTAACTGATCAAAGCAGAACCCACACAAAGTTAATAAAAGTCATAAAGAAAGGAAATGCAACAAATACAACAAAAAATATAACAGCAATAAAATATAACAGGTTTACAGCATAATATACAAAAACATGTGACCCCAAGTACACCACCCACAGATCTTCTTTACTGCATTACTTGTGCTGCACGTAAAGTCTCCATAAATCAGAGTCTCTCTGTAACTGATTCCATATCCAACGTACATAGTAAGAAAATGCTGTTTTTGACAGATTTACTGTAGGTCCCTCATTCAGAGTGGCTGATTAACTTTAACTATTGGCAGTAGTGCGCAGAAGGGTACAAAGGTGAACTGGAAGTTTACCTGGTGTCACTTTATTGAGAAAAATATCCCAAATCTGTTTTCTGTGAGTGGTCAGTGATGGCCAACCCACCAAATCATAAAGAATTCAATGGTGTGTCAGAGTCTTTGTCTTTTTAAACCTAGCATGCAACGCTGAATCAAGCCGCAACATACAAATAGTCACACAATCAATCCATTGTCATATAGTAAAAATTCACTAGCTGGGACCACATCTATGACACTATGAACTGGTGCTGCGGTTTGGGGAAGGCCTCGAAGGGGACTGGAAGCGACTCCCGGGTCAGGCAGATCCCCATGTACTAGCAAGAAGTGAATGACGGCTGGAAGGGGCGTGAATGAGGTCCCGCTCCTGAAATTCAGATGATATCTCCACGTAAAGCAAGATTTAAGATTCCCAACAAGATTTTGTTAAGAGAAAAAGAAACTTGTCATCTGTCCAGATATATATAAGATATAACAATATGTTTACAGTAATATAATTTCCACAGTACTGAAATAAAATGTGTTCCTGAAACCAACTAATTTTATTTGCTACACACATGAATCTAAACCTCCTACAAACACAAAGACAAAAACAGCAGCTGTAACTGTACTGTTATAGCTTAAATGTGTTTAATGAAAAGTAACATGTCTCCTTAATGTGCAAACATAAAAACAGTTTTTATGTATATGTTCCCTTTTTCACCAAATAATTAAAGAGATTTTTCACAAAGATGCTGGACACCAAATTCAGGATGTGTTTGATTATCTACAGCTGATGTGTATCTGCTGGTGTTTAGCATCTTTCTTTCTGTCTGTGTCACATCATCTGCCTTTCCTGATGCTTAAAGACATCTCACCTTCCCTTACATTGTTTCAAATGCTTGAACATAGATATGAAGCTTTCATTTTGATTTTTGTTATAATAAACATAAACAGATATAAGAGCTGCAGAAGCTAAAATCACCCCCAAAACTGACAGACCAACAGTCAGCCCAGCAGATCCATCCTCTGTGTCTCCTCCTGGCTGACCTGCAGGTGAGAAACAGGTGTGAGGTGTCAGCTGTCAGGTAGGTGATGAGTGAAGAACAGAACAGAATCCATTTCCTCTTCAAACTGCTGTCAGACATTATCTACTGCACTCTGATCACATCACTCAGACCAGCTGCTTTCTACAAAGTCTCATCAACAACATCTTTAGAAACAAACATCAACAACCAGGAAGCAGCTTCACCTCTGATCACACACACACTCAACTCTACTCACTCACCTGGAGGAACAACAACACTCAGGTTTATGCTGCTGATGAGGTTCAAAGTTGCTATTTCTTCGTTTGTTTTTCTCTGGGCAACTCGACACTCGTATGTTCCACTATCAGCAGTTGTCACATCCTTCAGAATCAAAGACACGTCTCCATCCTTCATCTGTCTGTCCTGCAGATCCACCCGATTCTTAAAAGATGGATGCTGGTTGGCAGGATCAAAACCCTTGTTGCGGTAAAAAAAAACATATTCGTTCTTCAGATCAGTTCTAGTCCACTCTACAGCTGTGATGGTTATGTCGTCATTTGGAGCTCGACATGGCAGTGTCACGCTGTGTCCAGACTCAGCTGTGATGTGTTTTTGGTCTGAAACTGGAAACAACACAGAGCAGAGAGGTTAAAGGGACGAAAGTACAACTGTTCACCTGTACAGCATTCCATCAGTGTGACTACTAAGCTCTGCTGAACTGCAACATGAGGAATTTAAATTCGGTGGATATGTAAGAATGACTTTTCTAACAAATGATGCGCAAAAAGTTAACTGTGTGTTTTTATTTCATCATTTTTGTGAGCAAACATATTTTGCTGCCCTTTCTGTAACCATGAGAAAGAAGTAAATGAGGAACAAAAGCTTTGCTGTAAAAATGTTGGTAAGATAACAGCACTGATACTGGTATATGATCAGTACCAGTGTGACAGGACTGATTATCAAGGTTAATGTTTCTTGTTACATCACAAAATAGACATGTCTGTGCAAACAGCACTCCGCTCACAACCCGTGTGACCACTTTGGTCCTGCTACCTTGCTCTGCTGTGTTTTGTGTTTTGACTGCGCAGACAAACTCCACCCACTGAGGTGGTGACAGAGAGAACTATGAGATGTCCGTGATAACTGTGAATGAAAATACTGACAATACTGCAGAGTTTGTAGGAGAGAAACTGTGGCAACAGTCTAATTTATACAAACACATGAAAAAGAGCAGAAGAAAACCATCCGCTCCGAGCTCCCTGACCTGCACTCAATCTACAGCAGGCGGTGCTGGACCAATGCCAGGAAGATCATGAAGGACCTCAGCCATCCCAACAACAGACTGTTCTCTCTGCTGAGGTCAGGAAAGCGATTCCGCTCCCTGAAGACCAACACAGAGAGACTGAGGAGGAGCTTCTTCCCGCAGGCAATACGGTCTCTCAATCACACCACCACACAGTACTGACCCACACATATGGTTCTTATACACACACTGGACTTTCTGGACTTTGGTTTTGCACAACACTGGTCACTATATTCTTCATTTCCGGTTAATACTTGTACAGCTGCTGTTATTGTGTATATATTTATTTATATTTAGATTTCTTCATACATTCTTATATAGTTCTATATTGTGTATTTTGTTGTACAGTTATTTTATTTTCAACTTTAATTTATATATTTATCTTTATCTTATTCTTCCCAGTTAAATTTACCCTTCATTCTAATTTGTGTTGTACAGTTATTTCATTTTTAACCTTAATTTATATTTTATTCCTTCCTAGTTAAATTTACCCTTTTTAATTTTTCATATTTATTTCCTATCTTATTCATAGCCTTTCCTTTTTTGTTCTCTTTAGGTCACGAGCAGTTGTCCAAGCATTTCACTACATATCGTACTGTGTATGACTGTGTACATGACAAATAAAATTTGAATTTGAATTTGAATTTGAATTTGAAACCGAAGAATAAATCTGAAGAGAAATCCTACAAACTCCTTCACGTTTGTGTTTTTCTTTCTTCTGACCAGATGCAACTTTCTGCACTTTTTCTTCAATGTCCATATACTTTAACACGGTGACTATTTTTTTCCTCAAAATGAATAATAATAATAATAATAATAATAATAATAATAATAATAACAAAAAATTTTCTTGCTGTGGCCGTCCTTGGTGGATACGGTAACGTAACCATCAGAAACTGAAGCACAGCGGGTGATTTTACGAATAAAACTCTTAAAAAAAACAGCGGATGTGTGCGCGTGTGTGAAGAAAAGGTTTAAACTTGCTTCATGAGCTCCAAGAGCACCAATGTGTAAGACTACGAAGTTCAGCCGAATTTTAACCACGTCAGTTAAACGTCAGCATGCTCTTTTATTTAAACATTCAAACCTAGTCGAGAGGTTATGCTCTCCTCCTCTATATCACAGAGCGAAAAACTGCTTGTTTTAATTAATCAGATAAACCTCACCTGAAGAGACCAGCAGGAAGAAGACAAACAGTAAATTGCGCCAAAGTGGCGCTGATCCTCCAGCAGACATTCACCGCACCGAGTATTTGGGCTGTTCCACAACTGCTGCTTTTAATGTCCGACAGTGCATTTCCAAAGAGTTTGATCTGTGAAACCTTACACGATCATCTAAATTCTAAGCTTTTATCATTTTTGTTTGGGTTGAACTAAAAGTCACAGATGCCTATCTTTACCCTTACAGCTTGATTGCTGCGATCCCTGACGCACTCTGACGCACGCTTTCATCTCCGAGAAAGAGATGCACACAAACAACATACCACTGACCAGTCATAACAAAGTTATTAAACACGTTTCTTGGAGGGGGTGGGGAGGGGGGTATTAGCACGTCATATAAGCCAGAACAGGCGGTAAAACATTTTTGTTTTAAGAAAAGGAATCATGGTGGGTCAGTCATATTGTATCGTTAATATTATTATTGTTATTATTATACCTCCGACAATAGAGCTGAAATGTCATATCTCGGTAATGCGCAGAGACTGAGCAACTTTTGCTTGAGTTATATCTGGATTGTCTGCAGGCACGTGCGGGGGGGGTTGAGCACCCGACCCTTTCCTGATGGTGCCCAAAGTGCCCTTCTGTTGAGGCAACTTTGTTTTAATTTTTTATTTTTTTAAAAATGTATGTGTGCGAGTCCTGTCTGTGCCCCTCAACAATACCATTTAACAAAATAAACTAAATAAAAGGATCTGGCTTGCTTCAGTCACATGATCGCCATTAACCAATGATCGCCCTTGACGGCAGAGCGCGCTGGTTACGATCCGGGAACGAGCTCACAAAGAGCACGCGCATTTTTTGCGGTCTGGGGCTGTAGGAGAAACACAAGTTAACTCAGAGACGCAGACTGATGCGACAAAACCAGTAAGTAAGTGTACTTACTGGTTAGGAGTATTAGCTTATTATGGACACGTTGGTAAGTTGTCTTGTGGCAACTGGCGAGTTGAAACAAACGAGCCTGCTGTGTGTGCAACAGCGCCACAAACATTACCTGTCCTTTTATTAACTGCACACATCATATTATTATCAAATAAAACATGTTTTTATTTAGAGACACTTTTGATTAAATTTGCAACTTGGAGTCGTGTGACAGATATCACATCTCTTTTTTTTCTTCAATCACACAGAAAAAGTGAGGGGCAGAAACTCTGATCATCTTAGAGAACTGAAATAATTTTAAAAAGAGGACAAGCTGTTAAAGGAGTCCTCCTACCTCCATGGTCTCTATATTCCAGCTGTGGCCACACCTGCTTTAACCTGTGCATCCTCCATCAGCTCTTCCCACAGCCTCCCCTTTCATCCATCCTCCAGATACATTTTAAGAACTGGAGGACATTTCAGCATGGAACAGTGAGACTGAATTCTGTGTCACAGACAGGACGATGGAGGAGATGAGGTCTCAAAAGCTTAGGTCTCAGGTGGAAATGTCTGGTTGATCTCCTGTAGCATTTAAGGTCAAAGGTCACATTAAAACTGTCAGGCACTGCTAAAACTAATGCTCCACTGCTACCACCTGCTGGCTGTTATCATGCAGTGACTGATGCCTCTATCCATTTACACTTACCGGCCACTTTATTAGGTATACACGTCACATAGTCTCTGTAGATTTGTCCATAAGGGGGCTCACCTGCTCCACCACATACTGGTCTGTTGGACTGATATCTGGTCCAGTCATCTAATTTCAGATGATTTGAGATTTAAGGCATGGTGTATCATCTTGCTGGAAATGGCTCACAGAAGATGGCTGACTACACTGATGGACACTGTAGTCATGAAGGGATAGACATGGTCATTAACAATACTCAGATATGCTGCAGTGTTTAAATGACCCTCAGGTGGTACTAAGTGGCTCAAAGTGCGGCAGTAAAAATGTCCCCACACCATTACACCACCACCAGCCTTAAGAAGAATGGATTCATACTTTGGTGTTGTTTACACCATATTCCGATCCTTCCATTGGAATGTTGCATATTCCAATTTTGTGAAGTTTTGATGAACTCATAGTTTTAAGCCCTTTAGTCAGAAAGGAATTTTCTAATACTGGACTGATCATACTGGACTGCTTGGGTTACAGTGTAACTGAAAGCTGCTATTCAAACTGCTACTAAAAAAGCTATGATGCTGTGTGTTTTTGTGCATATTTTCTGAAACTATTTTATAAATTACATCCCTACATGGTTAAAAATGGCAGCTACCTACCAGTGTATTTGTAAAGAAAGGGCAAACCCTCAATCAGATGAAGAGGGCGGGCTTTGCTATATATCGCTGACAAAAAGAAAAGCTCAAATGAGTGAGAAGGACGATGAAGGAAACATCTGTGCTGTGTCTGCTCTGTAAGTAGAATCTCTGTGTTTGTTTGAATTCTTGTACTTTGACTGTCTGCTCTCCTGATAACTGATGATGGAGGAGAAGACATGAAAAACAAATCAGGCTGAATTCAAGGTAAAAACAGCAGGCAGTGAAAATCCCAAATCATTCAACTCATTACATGAACACAGCTGGACGGTGGACATGTGACTTTACTGTGTTAATTAAAAGTATCTATGTATGTATTTATGAGTTTGTATATACTCACAATAGAGCCAAACTTTATTGAAGCATGTTGCATCAATGCGAGTTTGTGCGTTTTTCAGCTGTTTGTGTGGAGTTGTTCTTCATGTTCACCTCAAATCCACCTGAGTGTCAATTTTCTCTTTAGTTCTGATCTCACTGCTGAGCTGCACAACAAGCCAAGGTCAGTAACCTTCTCCTGTCACAGTTGTAACAGTTTGAGCAATTAAAAGATTTTATTTTATTTT